CAATGGTGTTAAGATTAAGACTTTTATGGATCCATGGTGTGGGGGTCAATTCTTATCAGAGGTTTTTAGCTATAGAACATTGAGACAAGTATCCTCTAATAAACAGATTAGCTTGAGTAGTTTTATTGCTCAAAATCAGTGGCAGTTTGTTGATATTCCACTTATTGTTCAACAATTTATGCAGCAATTCAGGATTTATGGTGGAGAAGACCAGTTATTATGGAACCACAAACCTTTTACCTTTAAAGCTGTTTGGGACGCTTATAGGGAGTCAAAACCTGAAGTTTCCTGGTTTGGTTTGGTTTGGAATGGGGGTAGACCTCGATGGTCTATGTATAGCGCTTTAATAATCCAAAATGCTGCTCTAACTGGTGCTAACTTGTAGCATAGAGGAATTTCTTTAGCTTCCAGATGTGGTTTGTGTGGCAGTAATGAAGAACATGTAGATCATATGTTTATGAAATATGTGTATGCGTGGGAGGTCTGGTGTGGATTGGCTGGTATATTTCATTGGAGTGTTCAAAAGTTGCACTCTGTTAGTTCCTTCGCTGTAGTTCTGCAATCTCAATTTCACATTAAATCTGGCAAGAACAAGGTGCATAAGATGTTGGTCACGACTGCTATGTATTACTTATAGAATGAAAGGAATGGCAGACTTCATACTGATACTATTAGGTCTCCTTCAGCTTTAGTTAAATGCATTGTTTGGGATGTTCTTGACATAGCTGGAATTAGCCTTCAAGATTTTTTATGTTCTTAGGAGTTTGAGGTTGTTGCAGGCTTGTCAGCACTGCCCTAGACGTCCTTGTGTGTTTTAGTGGAGAAATATCTTCACTTTCTTCTTATACTTTTTTTTATATTTTATAAAATTTTCTTCATTTAGGAAAAAAAAAAAAAAAAGAAAAGAAAAAAGAAAGAAAGGTATTGGCGTTTACTAACCTACAAAGTCTCTGTGCCCAATCTTTAGACGATGTCATGCAATTTTTCATCCATTTACATTTATGATAGTGGAATGGGGATGGGGATATGATTGGTCCACGCGTTTCATCCATGAGGTCCCAATGTTTCCGTTTTCCTTCATACAAATGGAGAAAATATTAGATGATCTTGGACCATCTGTCTTGTCTTTCATGATTCAATCCAATCAAATATTGTTCAAGTTTATTTATATAAATATTAATTTATTATTGTGGAACTTATTTTCTCAATCAAAGAGTTTGGATTGAACTCGACTATCAATGTTAATGGTTCAAAGTCATCTAATTAATAATTGCATAAACAAATGAACTGGCCATCATAGTCATCATAGGTGTGACATGAACTAATACTTAGGATGAACTATTAAATTGAATTGTTTGGCTTATAACTTTTTATTAGTCATGTTTATCAAATAAAAAAAACAGTGGACAATGTTACTTGTTATATTTTGAATAAATGACCAATTAAACAATGTCAATCAAGCCAATCGCTCTAACTGATCTACTTAAAAATCATTTTCTGAGGGGTCATGTAATGGAAAGAACCACATATTATTGAAAGAAAGATAAAAGATAGCAGGATAAGATTTGCCAAGGTACTACTCTGTTGGAAGGCTAATAGAGAGGGTTGGGCTTATATAATTAATCTTTTATCTTGGAAGGCATTGGGGGTTCACTGCCTATGGTAGCTAGAGGATTGACGACAAAGTCTTTGTGTCCCCACTCTTGATCAAATGATGTCATGGTACACAAATGTTGGAAAGCTATAGAGAGGTGTCTTATATAGTAATGAGTTGACTAGAAAGAGTGACGGTGTTATTCGACTAGTAAAATCATCATGCCTAAAGTGTTCCTACTCTATTAATTCTAGGTTACATTTTTCCTTTCCCAGCTAACTACTAACTATTATCAAGCTTAAAAACAAAAAATAATAATCTTGAAAGACAATGGTGTTCATTCTACAAAGTCTTTATATACACACCATTTTTTTTTTTTTTTTTTCTCTCCCGAAAATTTAAGCAACTTTCATAGATAAGAAGTAGAATATACAATGGAGGGCCTTATGCCCGTAAAAAGAAAGAGTACAAGCCCATAGGCAATCAAGGGCAAGACCCAACCCACGGACAAGCCCAAACTAAAGCAAGAAGATAACCACCATTAACGGCATGATTAGCAGTTAATAGGGACTATCGCAATTCATTCTGGTAAGCATTCAAAATTCAAGCAGTTGTGCCGCCACAACTTAGCCCTGTAGATGTGGAGGAGGTCGATAACATGATGGAAAGACATTCCATTCCTTGATCGAGGATCGATTTTGTTGAAGAGAAATCTCTAAAAATCCCCAGTTTCAAGATTGCAGCATTGGTGGAGCTAACAGATCTTGGCATAGACTACCCTCTACGAAGCCTTCTCTCCTTTGTAAATCCGAGCATTCCTCTCTTCCCAAGTATGATACAAGATAAGCACAATTTCCTGTGTAGATTAGAAGATGTATTTGCTTTTCAATTATTGCTAATCCATAGTACTAAAGCATCCCAATTTGTGATTGCAGTGTAGATGTTACATCTGTACCTGATAAATCTCCATAGGGGTGATACGAAGGTGTAATTAAAGAATAGGTGCTCATGTAATTCAAGTGAATTATGGCACAAAGCACATATGTTATGATGTTTGGCCATTGATTTGTTATCAAGAGTTAGCAATTTGGATTGGACAGCCAGCCAAAGATTAAACTTCATTCGTGGGATTGTGGGAGATTGCCAAACCAAGTTGTGCCATGGGACAGATGAGAACTCACCTGCTAGGTGTGCAATAGTATGCTTGAATGTGTACAGGCTAGATGGAGATGCATTCCACTTCTTAACGTCTCTTCTCGATGTGCATGGTGTAGGTAAGAAGAGCAATTCAGGTATGACAATGGTGATAATAGTAGGGAATACCTAATTGTACCTTGGCAATGAAATTATCCACTATTATGTCATCATTAAATCCAGCCTCAGTGAGTACATTGAGTGGGAATCGTAAGCTGAGAGGCCCTCCCGTAGCCCGGTTGTCCCACCAGAAGGATGTTTTAGCACCATTGCCAATAATGTGTTTGATAAAAATTCTTACAAGATGCCTAAGTTGAATGATTTTCCTCCAACTCCAAGAACAATGCTGTGGGTAATTGAGTGTCCATAGATTTCTAGACTTAAAGAGGTGAGATTAGCACCAATTGACCCAAAGTCTATTTGAATCATCTGTTAACAGGTCCTAAATATACCTTAGAATTCCAGCTCTATTTGTAACCTCCAAATTAGGGTCCCTAATCCACCTATATCTCTAGGGCTACAAACCCTACTCCAAGCAACATTTGCACCAGAAGATTTCATTTCTAGACCTGACCAAAAAAAACTTCTGAAAATCTTGTAGAGATCATCAATAACTCCTTTGGGTAGAATGAAGATGTTGCACCAATAGTTTTGTATAGAGACCAACACAACTTTAATCAATTACAGTCTTCAGTGATCTAAATGTCCAGTTGGAGAATCTATGCGTGATCTTGCTTACCAACAAGCTGTAATTTTGTGATTTTAAGTTGGTAGTGATCAATGGCACCCACAAGATATCTCATTAGGAGAGTGCCAACATCAATGCCAAGTAGTGAAGTAATTTCCTCTTGTGTGCGGTCATTAATTCTAGAGAAGTAAATTGCACTTTTTAAGAGGTTGATGTCAAGGCCAGACAATAAGCAAAATAGATCAAGTACAAATTTCAAGACTGAAACTAAGGTGTCTCCATGGCACACCAATAACAAGTCCTCTACATAGGACAAGTGAGTGATTTTCTGTTCTCTACACCTCCAGTGATATTTGAAGGATGACACCTTTTCCACATAGTTGCTTACAATTTATCAGAAAACATCCATAACAATGACAAAAAGGAAGGATGAGATGGGATCCCCTAGCCTTAACCCTCTTTTACTTTTGAAAAATCCTTGAAATTCACCATTTAGAGCAATAGTGAATGAGGGAGAGGAAATACATGCCTGAATCAATGAAATAAACTTCAGTGGGTAGTTGTGTAGTGTGAGACAACTAATGATGAAATCCCACTTGATAGAGTCAAAAGCCTTTTTTAGGTTCACCTTGATTGCACATCTTGCTGGTCTACTGTGCTTGTGATAACCTCTTAAAAGTTCATGAGCTAGAAGGATAGGGTCTGTAATCCTCCTATCATGAATAAATGCAGCGTGGGATTGATCAATTATGTGAGGCAATGTTGCTTATAACTTACTTGCAAGCAATTTGGAAATGCACTTGTAAATGGTTTTGACACAAGAGATAGGCATGTAATCATGAAGTGGGGTTGGATTTTGACATTTAGGAACCAAGGATATGTAGATGTTAATTGTTTGCCTCTTCTAAAAGCTTGTCATTCCTAAAGAACTCTGAAATGACATTTGTGGTTGACCTACCAACTATTCCTCACGCACTTTGGAAATATAGGGCATTATATCCATGTGGACCTGGTGCTCTGTCCTTGTTTAACTTCATCATGCTACTCTGAATCTCCATTTGGGTTGGCATTTCTTATAGGTAAGAATGTAGATTATGAGGTACTTGCTTGGTAATGAATGGTAATAAGTTACTGATGTGATGTGTATAATAGGGTGAGTGACCTAGCATATTCTGAAAGTAATTGACAACCTAAAGTTTTATTTCCTCCATATCTTCAATAATTTGGCCATTATTCAACTGACAACCTGATTGACAACTTGCTTTTATACTTACTCTTGAATTCATATGACATGTAAAATTTCTCAGCATCTTACATCTATCGGTCCAATCAAAATTTGACAGTCACAATTATTCCAATTTTAGAGAAAAAATAAAAAAGAGATTCGAAGAAATTCATAACTGACGTCTCAAAAAGATCTTCATTAACAGTTATTAATTTCGTTATTTTTCTAAAAATTTTTAGCTTAATTAGACGTCTCTTGTCCACATGTATATTTTTTATCACTATGCAATAAGGACTCAGGCCATCTGCACCAGCCTCTCTGGATTTTGGCTTTCTAAAAACGCCACATCAGTTTTTTCAAGAGTTACATCAGCAATTCCAAGAGCCACGTCAGCAGTTTTCACTCTCCAGAAACATGCACTCCATCAGGCTCTCTGAATTTTCGCTCTCCAAAAATAATAATAATAAAATATTAAAATTATTATTATTTTTTTTTAACTTTTGCTAAACGGTTATATTTGTAACGGCTATATTTTTAACGGCTATATTTTTCATCTTATATAAGAAACTCATTTGCTCATCTGAAAATTATCACTATATTAATCTCTCTCCATAGTTTAATTTATGTTGCATTTTGTTTGTTTTTAAGATGTTATGACATTTCGTGTACTAAAATTTTTATTATGTAATGGTTTTTTAAGATTAAAAATAATGAATTGGAATAAGAAAATAAGTATTACAAAATTCTATGGGAATAAGTAGATGAATTTGTAATTATTATTTTTTATTTTTTACAGAAAGTGTTAAAAAAAAAAAAAAAAAAGCTTTTTCTTTTAATTTATTTTTGGCCCAAATAAATAAGGATTACAAAATAAGGATTAAAAATAATGAATTGGAATAAGAAAGTAAGGATTACAAATTATAGCACAAAAAAAAAAAAAAAAAAAAAAAAATTCTGCCAAACAATGCCTTAAGACACTGTTTGGCGCATTGTGCATAAGCTGGAGAATAAGGAAAAATAGGGGCAGCCCAAAATGGCGCCATTTTGAAGCAAGAAAAAATCAAATAGAAAAAAGGCAGCGATCGTGGGCCGGCTCACTGAATACTGCAAGCCAGATCGCGAGCAAAAATAGGCCTTACCACTTATAGCTAGCCCACTGTAGCTAATACAGTCCATTCGCTCGCCAAAAATAGGCTTTAAAGAGCCCCGCTGCGGATAGCCTCAGAAAATGTGTGGCTAGGGCGATAGGTGTAATATTTTTAGTAATTTTAAGGAAAGTAGTACTGTAATTATATATATATATATATATATATAATAAATAAAATAGTAGGATATAATACTAAAAAATAAAATAAAAAATCAGTGGCCCAATGACTTGTTAAAAGATTCATGAATTAGAAAGAACTCTTCAAGCTAAAGAATTGACGAGTTTTGAATGAAAAATTACATTTTTACTCTCTAAAATTACATTACCACTACATTTATATATGGGCACTTTTTACAATATACTCCATACAATAGTCCAATTCTATTATCTCATTATTCATAACTATACCATAATTTATTCATTTTGCTCTAACTACTTGATTTCAACAAACCTTAATTTATATAAACTTTTAGTATTATTAACTGCATGATTCATATTCTATCAAGTCTTTCTAAAATAAATGAATGTCACCACGCAATCACAGTCTTCTTCTCTAATGACGATATTTTCCAAAATGGAGATTTTCAAAGGATACGTTTAACTAATTTGTTATGGAAAGATTCTCCTTTCTACGACCTACAACACTCACTCCTATAGCGACATACAACTCCTTCACACCGGACATGTCAACTATATCTAATTAGACAAATTTGATTCACAAATTCTAACATTAATTGCATGACCATACCAACACTCCCGCACAATCATACCAATAACCAAAATAAATAAATAAATAAAACCATTTAACATAAAAGTCCTGTGAAAATAATCCAAGTTTTGCCATGCTACTCAAATATTACTACAAATATTGTTGAAAGGCTTATAGAGAGGAATTGAGCTTATATAAATGCATGTGTAAACTTTAAATGCATGCACTGGGGTTCAGTGACAACGCAACGTCTTTGTTTACCCGCTCTTGAATTGATATGTCATGTACAATTTGTCAAAGTTTACATTAATGAATCTCGGGGTCGACCTTTTACTTCATCGATCAATGCCAATTAAACTTTGATTGTGATAGTAATCAATTAGGTTGTTTTTCCAAGGCCTTCACCGCCAGGACACTTTCTTTGAACTTTCTTCGTGTTTCTTGGTGGTTCATTCTGGGTCGTCACTCCGAAACCCAACAGTTTGTGCACACCGCCAAAAGATAGTGGCGGTGTAGAGCTATGATAAATGTGGCCAAGTTTACATTTAGAATTGCCACTACTACCTTTTACTAAAAATATAGTTAGGGCAAGTAGGGATCGTCCCAAGGGATTGAGGGTCGTACTAGGTTGAGGAAATTAAAATTAGGGTTAGTAGGTCGAGTGATCAAAATAGTGGTTGGTGGTTGAATTACACTAAGATACAATTTAAACTAAAGTAAACAATAATGCAATAAAGAGAATGAAAGAAAGAGATCTTGGGGTTTAGAGATCACCACTAAGCATAACTTTTCTACACCGTCAATGAATGATTAATGAGGGGAAAATTGTATTGCAACAAAGTGTGTGTGTGTGGTTGTTCCAACAAGCATGGATGACAAATTAAGCATATATTGTCTAAACAATATGGTGGATAGCACAACATATCAAATTAAGCCATTAATCCTTTCTTTAAGCTCACAATCCAAACACATCACAAGGTTAGAGATATATACTTGCTTTCATAAGTATGGAACATTAACAACAAGCATGGATTGTCCTCCCATTTAACAACTACACTACAACTAAGTCAATGACATGAAATTAAACTAATTAAACTAAGGGATAGGTACAATCCATCAAGAAATGAGTATGAACCATCAAATAAACCACAAGAACATGCCATTAAGCACTATGTCTTGACAGTCTCTAGATCTATAGCATCAAGACACATAGACATGCATCAATAACACAAGAAATAGAGACAAACACATAAACATATATTCTAGCATACATAGACATATGGATAGAATGAAATGATCAATTAGAAGCATTAAACCACATAAATCATTGAATAAACAAGATCTATATATATATAAAAGTGTCAAGACATGTATCATAATACAAATGCCCTCAAAAATACATAAATCAAGATGTAGAAAGCATGCTTAGGGCTAATTCTAGCCTCAAGAGGATGTCTAGCCACTCATAGATGATGTCCTCCAACCCTCAAGGGTAAGCTCCATGGAAGAAATCTGCTCCTTGGTTGATGAAGAGTCTCCAATGGTGTCTCCAGCTTCCTCCTCTCATTTGCTTCCTCACTAAGTATTATCTTTTATCTAAGTATATCTATATATGTAAAAGTGGCTCATATTCCTTATATAGGTAGGTCAAAAATCACCCCAAATGAGCTGGGCTCGTACACCAATAATCCTTTAATGATTGGATATGAGACAACTTTTAATGAGCTGAAATTTGGATTTTCTCGGGATTTGGGAAGTTCGATCGATCGAACTTGAGGTGAGATCGATCGAACATGGCTGGGATCTATCGAATTGAAGCTGGATCGATCCTCAATGGCAGCGCCTTTTTGGATAAAAATAAATCTGAGATGTTTTGAAAATATTTTTGGAAAAATGACAAAAGTGGTTGGTAGGGTGGCACAGCTGAATAAGATCTGGCATGCGGATAAGGACAAGAAAGTTCGATCGATCAGAGAATAATGTTGCATCGATCGAACTTTTGGGATCTCTGAAGATGACATCATGGCCTGGATCTATCCTAAAGTGCTGAGATCGATGAAAGTTGGATCAATTGAACTTTTCTTAAGATTGATCGAAGTTGTTAAAATTCCACCATTTGCTTCATTTTGCCCTACTTTGCTCCTTTCTTTGATTCATCCCAGAATTGCTTCATTTCTGCTCTTATTTGGCTGAGTTAGCTTATTTTGGGGATAAGTACCTGAAAGTGGAAATAACACGAAATCAATCTAAAGCAGGAAAATAAGATAGATAAAGGTTCCAGAATACCTTAGCTTAAGGGGTTTAAATACGCACTTTTCAGCGCTCATCACACCCCCAAACTTAAATATTGCTAGTCCCTAGCAATGAACTAGAAAGTAAAGGAATGAAATGAACAACTAGACAACTATGAACTAGTAAACAATAAATGGATAACACCACTTTTGTACGGAACACGATTACATTTAGCATATGCAACAAGCCTTTTAAACCCCTAGGTTACCCCTAGTGGACGAGTGAAGTCTTGTGAGGGTTTCCAGAAATGATACCCACAAACATTAAGCTCATTCTTTCAAAAGAGGCACCAATATTGCAGACAAGCATTGGGAGAAAACTACCTCAAGTATGCAATTTTTCAAACATTTCTAAGCAATTTCCCAAAATCTCAACATCAAGCAGGCAAGTATGGTCCTCCACACATCAAGAAAATGATCATGAAGATCAAAATAACACTAGAATCCTTTTTGAGTGGATCGGCATCAAATATGTTGCTATCTTAACCAACTAAAGAAATGATCACATCCTTACCCTCAAACTAGCACACAAATCTAGTACCGATCATCAAGACAAAAAGTGGACCTTTTATTAAAGCTTTATTGTTCTAGGTGCGCTTATTCTTTTCATTCGATTTTTTTTTTTAGGATCAAAGATGGAAGCATAGTGCAATGTGTTGATCTATTAAGCTTTTTAGCGATCTATGAGGTCGAGCGTTAGGTCAATGACTCCCAAACCAGACGGCTTTAGGGCACTAGGTGTTCAAACACCCCTAAGGACTTACAAGCTTAAATCAACTAGGCTACAAATCAAGACAACCTCCATCTAATCATTTCCCACTTCTCACCTTTTGGGAGAAGTCCTCACTTTTTTTTTTCTTTTTTTTTTTCTTTTTTTTTTTTTTTTCTTGCATTCAATTATTAACTTAGAGTTTGGGTCCTCCACCTTTCGACGGGAGAAGTTTAGTGCTTAATGAGGCTAGAATCCCTGCTACTTAGTGAAAAGGGGTTGTTATCCACCTTTATCAAGAATGAAAGCTTTCAATGCACTACTAGCCCAATTGGGATATAACCAATTCAATAATCAACAAAGCATGTACCCCATAAATGAATGCTAGTGTGCACCTGTGCTAGTCTAGAATCCTAGAGTGAATCTTAAAACAATTACAAAATCAGGATAATGTGGACCACAAATGCAAGCAAGACATCAATCTTTCAAAAAATTTACTCCTAAATGGCATCCACAAGGCATACAAGGAGTATTGGACTCTCAAGTCAAACAATTTTTAAATTTTAAGCAATATAGTCCTCAAAAGATCAAAATCATAGCTAGCTATGGACCAATCATAGAAAATCTCTCAAATACACAAGTCATGCTTAAAATTTTGAATTTAAAAACAAACACTGCAAAGCACCATTACCCTCAAACTTAAATGGCACAATGTTCTCAATGTGCAAAGAGAACAAAATGAAAGAGTATACCAGTGCAATTAAGGTAAAGACTGGCTGGGACAGAAGTATCCAAAGCGGGTGGCATAGCCCCCCCAAACTTGGGATTAACTGTGGTCCTGAAATTTGGCATTTGGATAAAACTCATCAGATAACAAAAGGAATAATA